AAATTCTGTATGTGTTTCTTGTGCAATTATTTTATTTTATCTCACTTTGGCGTCTGCCTTTTTCTGCCCACTTGCTATAGAAGGACAATTCTTTGGCTCTTCAAGCAGCTGAAGTTGCAATAGTTGGTGGTGATGACAGTGGCCACGATATTTTTCGCCTCAGTGGTGGGATTTTGTAGACAGAATGGTCTAATTGGTGCCATTTCAGATATTCTTTTACATCACCACGATTTTGTATTTCACTTCGTCTCCCTCTGTGAACTACTGACTCATTGTTATATCAGGACGGCATTTCTGTGCACGCTTTGGTCGGTGTTCTTTTGGACCACTTTCTGGACTGATTCTGGAATTTTGGACCTTAAAAGACTTTCTACTCTTTTAACGAAATCCATCCATTGCCTTCTAAATGAGGCAAAAGTCAAGCAAACATAAATTACAGCTTTATTTTTGGATTTCAACGGTGCACTTCCGTCTGGATCGTTTACTCACCTTTGCACCGTGTCTTCCATTTTTTGGCAGAAACAAAGCCATGCCGAAGTGGCTGAATTCGACTTGTGTGCATTCTTTTGGCATAGTCCGATGCTTGGAGTTATCCTTGAAGTGGAGACGTGCTAGTTGAGCAAAATGGGCATCTCCGACGTCCAACAGTAATAGGATCACCAGCACACCTTTGAGGTCACGTCTTCCGGTTAAAACGTGGAGGTGGATTCATAAGTACTTGGGAAACTGAAAATAACTTAAATAATTAGAATGCTACAACAGTTGGCCTTGTTCCCTTTCTGAGGGAAGTCTACTTGCATAAAACAAGCCAAAGTTAGTATCAGCGCCACTAATTGTGAAAAATTGACCAATCATTTGGTGGCGTCACATAAAACGCTTTCAATTTCATTTATTTTCCTATTTCATTAAACCACCATTACGACGGTGTCTTAATGAATGTATCCTCATTTTTTACTGGTCATTTCACTTCAACATTTCAGCTAGATCAAATGCTGAAGATAATCGAAGTTCTGGGAATGTTGCCCTCCTATCTTATTGAGAAGAGTCGGAGGTGGCCAATGTTCTTTGAACGCGAGTCCAACGGCAACTTTGTGCCCAACTACCAGGCCTCAATGAAAGACAACGTCAAAGTGGGTTTTGTAAAATAATTGCTGCTCATATGTTATTCAGTAGGTAATTACCTCATTGATGAGCTCCTGCACCCATAATTACTGAGAATGTAGTCTTGCCTCCTTATTTCACCGCATCCGAAGGAACTGTTTTCATTTTCGTTTTTGCTCTTTTAAGATCGGAAAGTACTCGTTACTTCTATTTGATATTCCCATTACGCACTGTTACTTGTGACGCGACCGGGTGTGGTGTTAGAGACTAGGAAATTTTATTCTCTGTGCGGAACTTTGTTTAACTGGTCGTATATTGAGCGTGGAATTTTTCGATTCTCGTCAATGTGTTTTTTGCGTCATATTTTCCAAAATGGGTGGTACCTCATCAAAGCCAAACAATCTAGAATGCTAAGCACATCTTCATCATCATTGGTGATGTCATTATCCAATGACGGCCTTCTTCTGATCGAACGTTATTTGTGCCATAGCCCTGTATCCATTGGATCAATCCATCGTCTCTGAATTATGTCGAACATTTGTTCTAAGGTGCAACTTATGAATAACTATTAAGCTAGCTTTTGTCGATTTAGAGTTGATTTTGACGCCGAAGTGTGCCATATTTCTGTGGTAATGCCTAATCGTGAAGCAGATTTGAGGTCTCTTCTACTACCCTTATTCTTAGGAAACGAGAAACAGTTTACTCATAGGATTTAAATGTTCACTGGTTGAGTAGCCTTCAACGCAAGTCTTTTTGGGCAGTTTAGGGCTTTTACCGCTGTTGTAATTTACTGTTCCATCAACCTGACGCAGGTGTAATCCCCTTGACGTAATAATTTTTATGCAAACATAGATTATTACATGATGGCTAAAACTAGTTGATCGGCGAAGATTCCTTGCGTATTTTGTGGATTTAATGGATTAATTACTTTTGTAGTGCGCGCCTTTAGATCTGATAACATGTTTAAGATCGCACTTGTTATTTTCAATTGCATAAAATGAGGTTTATTATGAACTATTGCTTGATAAATGAAATCTTCGAGGAGCAACTGTCTGTTTGAACTTAATCGAATCGTCTCTAGATTGATAGAGAAGCGTATACTCAGCCACTCTAGTTGACTCTATTAGCCATCTCGCTTAGCTATTCGCAAAGCCTAACACCCTTAGCGGAGATGGCGGCTTTTTATAATTGAAAGAATATCAACCCCAGATTTGTTATCAGCTGAATGTTTATTGTTTGCACCGTCGCATCTGCTATCCTGTGGTTGGTTGAGAGGACCCTGAATCCATCCAAGTTTACTATTAACTTTACGACCGTAGATGTAGATTTTATTTTTTAAGTAGTAGTCGATCGAATGAGTTAAGTGTTTCCCCGTGTATTTCATCACTCCTCACTCTTTGTGGTTGGTGAGTAGGATGTATGAACGTAATCCGACTGACAGCGCAACAGTAGCTGTTAATGATCATGTTAGGCGCTTAAACGGTAACATTATGCCAACGTCTCTTACTGCTACAATCACAGATAAACTACAAACCGCCGGGCGCGCGAAAGCTGAGTGATATCTTGGGTGTCAACAGTGGAGGTCCCATGGGTAGACGACTTCAGGAACCGGGCCACTCACCGCAGGACTATGCTATTTTCATGGATCTTGTACTACAAATGCTCATCTACGATCCCGATAAGCGAATTCGTCCCACTGAGGCTCTGGCACACCGTTTTTTCTGTCGCACTGCACCCCAGCCCGCCACTCGGGCAATGGCACTGAGTGTTCATCATGCTCGACAGCACTCCGGACAGCCGCAGACCATTTTGGCCAATCCAGATGGTGAGTTGTGGTGCTTGGGCAATCAGACTTGGATTTTGGATGACCTTGATATAAGTTCTTGAACCAATGCCTTCTATTGAACTTAACGTAAGTATAATAGAATCGCAGTTAAAATGGGTTTTACTGATCAATGCGGCACCCCAGTTATCAATTCTAAGCTCAGGTTTCCATTTTCGGCCTTTCGTCTTTAAGAGCTATTTCGACTGTTGTTGGTTTTTTAATTGAGTTTGCTCATGACGTCAGGCTCCTTTGAAGGTGATGCAGATTTCGATGAGTTGTTTTTTACGTGAGGCGTCCAAAGTAATTGAATATTCTCAAGTTTTATTTCAATTCTTTTTCCACACCAGCATCTTTCCTTGTCTTGAGTTTTGTCAATGTCGAGATCAACTAAAACTATTAATTTTGATGGTCTCAGATTTTCACTGAACTAACTTATGTCTCAAAGTCATTGAAATTTTTCTCCTCTTGTGCGTTAACGTTTGAGGTCGAATTTTGAAACGGCAAGGATTGCCAAAACAATTACTGTCAAACGAATAACGCATTCGAATCTTCCTTCAATATGTTAGTCATGGCAATTTTATCATACACTCTCTCAAGAAGAGTAAAGAAAACATCTTGTCAGCCATGAACATATACGATTTGTTGTACCCTCTAAGTTGTCCCCTTTGTTTGGTGGAGCCGGATTAAGTCCTCCATTGTTGCACATTTCCAGTGTCTTCCTGTTTGCGATGGTGCTCAGTCGTAAAAGATATAGCTCGGTTGGTGAAAATTACCTGCTCAACTCAAGCTCACTTTTGTTCTCAAGCTGATAGGGAGCAGTTTGATTCAATGTCTCGTTGTCATTTGTGCTATTCTCTGCTAACAGTAAGTAGCGTGGAATAAATTGGAATGTGGACTTCAAATGAGCTCCATGAAAATCCCTTAGGTAGAAGTGCACTTCGGTAGCAGGTTTATAAATAATTATTGTGGATTGGACTAATACTACGCAGAGCCTATGTCACGAGTTCGGAATCTGCAATTCAGTCGTATTTCATTTAGTCAAGACTCCTCTGTCAAACTTTGCGTTCAGTTGGATGGAGGCTACTTCAATTTCTTGCTTTTATTAAACTATCCAGTGGCTCTTGACGATGCTTCAGCTCCGAAAAAAGCAAAACAGTAAACAATTGAAATCGTTGCCTAAAACTGGCAACAGAATAGTCCCTCAAATGTGGCATAGGACGCGCATACTCTGCGCGCGTGTGTGTGCATACGTAAGTGGGGGTATGCTGCATTTTTGTGTGAATTCTGCCGCCTCCACTACCACCATCCCCTGTGTCCAAGCGCTGCTGTAGCGCAGTCTTGGGTAAGTGAACGGCCTAGCGAACCAGCCAGTCGTCCGCCGCACATCGATTGTCCGCGTTGCGTCGTGTCTCGTCGCGCGTCTTTGTGTATCCGAATGACGTCAATAGGAGGGCGCGAGCGAGAGAGCGAGATGGGGCGGGCATGAGAGGCGTGTGCGCATGCCTGTCCGCGTGCAAGTGCCATTTTACGACTCCCTACTACCAACACAGCCTTCTCTTTCCTCCGTTCGTCTCTCTCCTGCTACTAATTCATCGGCCATAATTCCTCTTCCTCCGACTCTATCCCTCCCCTCCTCTCTCTTCCCCTTCGTGTCTCTGTGCCTTCTTGTTGGGTTATGAAGCTTTGAAGTTTCCTGCGACACATTGCGATGCATCAGCTTCCGCTCTGATTTTGTCAATCATGTCGACCGATTCAGGCTTAGTTTTCAGTTGGACCTTGGTTACAAATTATAACTATTTCCTCAATTATATTCACCTTCTTTGCTGCAGCAGCTAAAAAAGGAATTGTGCTTCCGTTCCCAACCCCGACAAACAGTCCTTTGTGATATTGTAACATCTAAAAATCAATCACTTTGTTTTCGTTTTGTTACTTGTCCTGTTTCTAAGTTGTCTCGGCTGAATGATTTGAGATTTCGCCTCCGCTTGCATAAGTGGATCCCTTAAAAGCCTTAAAAATTGAAGGATTTCTGTCTGCTGGTACTTTCATTCATATCTTTCGATGCATTTTCATTGCCTTCAGTACGTAATCTTTATTGAATCTGTGCATTGTTTTGCGAACCTTTTAACTTGTCAGTTACGCGAAATAGTGTCCAATCTTTCGCCTATTGAAGGAAGTTGCATCTACAATCTGTAGTCAATTTTGTATTAATCGAGTTTTCGTGAACTCCAAGTATTTTCAGACTCGTATTGGAATAGACTGTAGTTGTTAGCACGAATTGGGCTTCACTTTGTGTTGGTTGGATCTTTTGAGTTTCTGTCTATCTTCGGCAATCCCCCTTCTCTCCCTCCCACTTTTAATCATATCGGCCGATTTCTCCGGAAAACAAAAACTTTCACCTCAAATGGTCTGGTTTTGGTTTCGGCTACCTTTTTTGCACCACTGTTTTGGGTTTCGGTAAACGTATCGTGCTGACTCGTCTGCTTGAACTTTATGCCAAAAGTGTTTGCATGTGTTGGGTGACTTCAAGGTCAGAGAGGAACTTTGGTTTACAAAATAAGGGTTTTTACATTTCGTCGCTTTTCAAACCGACTAAAATGACATGTTTTGTTACCTTTTGAGGCGAAGAAGTTGAATTTAGCTTTGTTTTTGTCGTTTTAATATTCCCAGACGCAAGCAATAATCCACTTTTAAGATCTCGGCGTCGAGGTCATCGGCGTTGGATAGAGTGTTATTTTTAGACCAATCACTAAAATGCTCAAGGAAACATGATGGTCCAATTTCGTTTTCAGCATTGCCTCCATAACGCCACTTGGCATCAGGAGGTAGTTAAGGAGGATTTCAGACTGAGAGTTAGTTTGTTGATTCCTAAAAAAATTAATCCACCCTCTCCTTTCCCATTTTCTACTTACTCATTGTCACTTCAAAATCCACTTACTTTCGGAACTCTCCTTAATTTTTTTTGTGAAATACTTTGATAGATATTAAAATGTAGCCAATAAGCGGTTTCGATTTTGATTATGTCTGTTTGTTTGCGTTAAGTCACGAACTTAGGTGAAATCCACGTTTGTAATTTTCCCCCAGATTATGACGGCACCCTAGGCTTCAAGCTGTTGCACAAATGTCTCCAAATTAGCGTATTTTCCGCCTTCATTTTTTAAGTCACTTAGCTTACTAAAGTTTTGAACTGCTTAATTCCTTCGTGGCCTCGTTTCGTTCAGTTGCAACCTCTTCATTAAAAAAAATGAAAACAATTAATACTTCGTGAACAAGTGGTTCCTATCATCTGGCTTACACCTTCTACCGTGCGTTTTCGTAAGTCGTCGGCTTGCCAACGGGTGTAGGATTTCGTGCAATCAAGTCAACTTACTGCAGCTAAATTGACCTTAATTCCAAAGCATTTTTTGGAGACACACGGAACAATCAGTTTTATGATGTTGTAGAGACTTTTTCGGAGTGCCAGTTGGGATAAGTCTCACTCTTTGGAATTGATTTCAGAGGAGACAATATCAATATGCCTGAATGGGTGTTTTGGTGTTGACGGGGTCCTCAAAACTGTCATTACTAGGCTTTTGTCGTCAAACTTTGTGCTCTTCCTTCACATCAGCTAAATCACTTTGTTTTCAGTCTTTTTCTCACCAAAAGCCTAGATTTATACCAATTTTCGTGGCACTTTACTAGAATCTGGGTCTTTGCCATTTTATTACAAGGAGCTCTTCCTATTCATGTACTATGCATGAATAAAATACTTTTTCTTACCACCATTTCTATCGATTTCGCAATTTAGTGGTTGGGGTTAACTATCTCCTAATTTCATCTTTGAAAATCTTTTAATTTGAATCTATGAAAGCATTTGTGTATACAAATACAAGTTTTTCTTAGCGATCGGTTTTCGAGTTCACTGTCAGATGGTGCAATTCCGTGAAATCGAAGCCAACCATTTTTGTCCTTGATGAATTCACTTTGCCGTTTTATTTGGTTTTGTGAGAAAACATCAGTTGTCGATATTTACATTCCTTTTCTCCGTTACAAATTCCACTCGCCATCACTCTATGACCTAGTCGGTCTGGAGGTGGCTTTTGTCATCAATTTTGGGAGCGGCTTAAAAACTTGCAATCCCGTTAAGTTTAGCACAATGTTGTGCCATTAGCACTGAATAAGTAGTGGTTAGGAGGGCTCCGCACTCAAACCTCTCACCACTTATTGGTCTTCCTCCTCAGTTTGCCCTTGGGTAGCTCCTCACTTTAAGTCATGGCAACTCAGCCTGTGATTTACTGTAAGATAAAAATGAGGATGAAATGCTGAATGACTCTAGTTTCATTGTTTGCAGTACATATCGTGGATTCCCCGTTAGAATAATTACACTTAAAAGGGATTCAATTCAGAGGTAGTAGGTACAACTTCTGCTTTCTTTCCTGTAGCACTCTTCTATCAACGACATAGCGGAACTGTCGGTGGCAATTGGATGAGTAAACAGACGTCGGGCCTTATGACCGTCCCGCAGTCGGGGCAGCCGACAGGTGACTTCTTCATCGACCTTCCACCCCAGACGCAACAACCACCACCATCCTCATCTATTACTTTCCACCCGAGTACGGGAGCTCCTATTTCTCCCTACGATGCACCTGCGCCCTTGCTCCGACGCTACTCGGCACGCAACGCCGCCGCCACTGCTGCTGAGATTGCGATGGGACTCTCGCCCCAACCCCAACCTCCGCCTCCGCCGTCTTCCCTGTGGCGCTGAATACTTTGACGGTGACTGCGACGGCGAAGGTCTTCTACCTCCTCCTCCCTTTCCTCACCTCTTGCTCTCCCCTTAACATGTACAGACACTACTGCCACATTGCAAGAAGCACCCGAATACCGGCGCTCTCGTTTTTTCCCTTCTCCTTTTTTCTGTGATAGTTGGACGCACAAGCTGCCAATACGGCTCTCCCTTCTTTCTCAGTTTCTCACAAATTGCGTTTCCTCTCACTCCTTTGAATTCTACTCGAATTATGTGATTATATACATATATATACAAGTATATATATATATATGCATATATGTATTGGAATTGAATTTCACTTCGCTGAGTTTATTTACCCAACACTGGAAGCCTGTGATCCTAGCATGAAATAAACTGACTCGAATGAGTGATTCGGCATTCTAAATGAAAAGATTCTCTAATGAAATATTTCGGTGTAGAGTTTGAACTACTCCAAAATGGTGTGCAAGAGGAACATGAGGATCGGAGGGTACATTTGATCACAACATCACTATAATTGGATGATGATTAGGGATGGGATGACTAAATTCATCAGTTCATTATTCATCATTTCTCCTTTTTCCAGGTCTTTTGGATTGTCTGTGCTCTTCTTCGTTATGTGATTCATTACCATAAGGGGAAGAACTAAGACCTCGATGAAATTCCGCTAACCGACATTGTAGTGTGCTTGCTGAATTAGTTATTCTATAGATCTTACCCTTATTGGGTCAAGGTTAGTCTCATACAACAAGCAAACTTCAAAACGAAGTCGCTTTTATTTCCCTTCACTTTGCGTCACCAAACTGTGTTTGGTTTATTGGTCATGGGTCGGTCTTCACTCTTCCTGTGTTCTCAGTCAAAAGTAATAATGTTTGATAAAAATCGGTGTTTGAGGGAACTTAAGCTCAAGATTGCAAGTGTAGTTTCCGCCAGGCATTGCTCTTAGCTAGTGTGACTACTGCCCATTTTAAGGACTCCCTTTCCATGAGCCGCGGTTCGGGAAAAATTGCTAATTTGGAATTGGCGGACATGGTGTGCTTATTCTTTTCTATGTCAGACAATTGAGCTAAATCAGGTATGAATTGTACCATTTTTACATCCTTAGCCATTTGGATAGTGATCATCGTGAAAAGTGCTGACGAAATGATATGCACTTAGTTTCTATTTTGAGATATGTCAACTAAGTAGAGGTTTGAATAGTAGATTTGTAACGCCCAACTCACGTGTTAATGTCTGGGGCTCTGTGAGTGCGCCTTATCGACTGTAAGCAGGAGGCGTGGGTGGAGGGCTAAAAAAGCAAATGCTATGCCCAAGACACTTACAATGGAGAAAAGATTTACAGAATCAATGAGTTGTAGTGTTTAATATTGATAAACTTTGATGTACGACTGCATTCGACTTTCCTTTCAAGGTTGCATTTTACTAGCTCCTAGCCTACCTCGAAGATGGAGATAAAACCGCTTCCGCTCCACCGACAGCCTTTACAAGGCAATCAGAAATAACTACAGCGAAACAAAGTAATTACTATTTTGATTTCTCAAAATACGCGAACCTTCCTCACTGAGCCT